GGTTTGCAGGGAAAGGGGGGTGCTCCCACCCGGAGAGGGTGATGGGGGGGCTGAAGCCAGCACTGCCACCCCCCAGTGCTGATTTACACCGTGGAGGCGTTGGCTGATGGGGAAATGCCCCGAATCCCATCGTGATCCTGAGGGTGCTGAACATCTTGGGGGAGGCAGGATGAGGCCAGGGTGCAGCAGGGGTGTCCCCAGGGAGAGCAGATGGAGACCAAAGCAACATCAGCCCCACAGGGAGAGGCTTTGCGGGGGTAAGGGATGCAGTGGGGTGCACCCTGCGTGTGCCTGGGTACCACTTTGCCCTGCCAGGATGGTGCATTAACTCCAGCTCCTTATCCCAGTGGGAATTTCCTCCTGCTGGGATAATATCACTGCTGTAACAGTGGAACAAATCCCCTTGCCAACAGTTGGGCCTCATCCTGCATCTCCCCACTGCTGCAGATCCCTAGTTGCTGGTGCAGTGTGTGGTGCTGAGCCTGTTCAGCTCAGCAGTCTGGCCCTTTGCTTCGGTCCTGAACTGGGATAGCTCTGGAAAATGCTGGGAGCATCGTATGGAGATTGAGGTTGTAGAGGGTTGGGGAAACTGAGGCAGGATGGGGGTGGCAGATGCTCTGTCCCCTTAAAGCCCATCCACCATGGGTGCCCTTCAGCCCATAATTACACCGAATGAATCCAACAGTGAGTGTTAATAAACCTTCAGGCTGTAATGAAGTGGGAAGGTCTCAGCTGGTGTCCCCGAGGACTCCAGCACCATTGTGTTTTGGGGAGGCAGAATTCCTGGAGGGGCTTGGACCCGTCACCATAAATATTTGGCTCTAAACAGCAGCTTCCTCCTTGCTTGGCCGAAGTGACCAATATTGGCTTGATGGGTGAGTGGGGAAACTGAGGCACGGCTCTGTTCTCCATCAGCGAGCAGGATCTGGCCAGGATTCCTTCCCATTGCTGCTTGGGGACCACCAGGGAGATGGTGGCCTCCATCTGCAGTGAGGTTGGTTGGGATAAAGCTTCCTCCTGCGGTTGCAGAGCAGCTTCACCCACTGGGTGCACGGGTGAGGGCACAGACCCGTGTGTCTGGGGGACATGGGCTCATCCCACAAGGAGATGGGGGAAACAGGGTTTTGATGGCTCCAGCACATCAGGAGAACCTGGTCTCAACGTGCTGTGGTGGTCTGGTGGGACATGTCTGCACACAGGGCTGGTGGGGTGTCTGAGGACCCGGTACCTTTGCAAGGTCCTTGTTCTTGGGGTCTTTGTGGCATCCCTGCATCTACAACACTTGGGGTGTCCCTGCACCCACAGTTTGGGGTGTCTCTGCACCTAGGTCCTTTGAGGTGTCACCATTAACAGAACACTTAAAGCGTCCCTGTGCCCAGATCCAGTGGACCATCTCCACATCATTGGGACATCCCTATACCCATGGCCTTTGGAGTGTCCTTGCACCCCCGACTTGGAGGTGTCTCTGCACCTAGGTCCTTTGAGGTGTCCAAGCACCCATGGCCTTTGGGGTGTCCTTGCATTCACATCTTAGGGTGTCTCTGTGCCTAGGTCCTCTGAACAGTCCCCATGAACAGGACCATTACAGTCTCCATACCCAGTACCTCAGAGCATCTCCTTTCCTAGGGCCAGCAGAAGGTCTCTGCACCCAAATCATTTGGGGTGTCTCACACCCAGGGTCTCTGCAGAGCCTACTCATGCAGAACTTCTGGGGTATCTGCACTGAGGACACTTGGAGCATCCCTGCCCCAAAATCTATTGGGGTACCTCTGCACCCAGTGTCTCTGGAGCACCTCCACATGCAAAATTTTTGGGGTACCTCTTCCCCCAGGCCCTTTGAGCATTTCTACACCCAAAACGTTTGGGGTATCTCACACCCAGAGTCCCTGGTGTGTATCCACACATGAAACTTCTGGGGTACCTCTTCCCCCAGGGTCTCTGGAGCATCTCTTTACCCAGACCTTTTGGGGTGTCTCATACTTAGAGTCTCTGAAGCATATCCACAGACAATATAGGTTAGTGTGAGGTGTCCCTGCTCATGGCAGGGGGGTTGGAACTAGATGATCTTAAGGTCCTTTCCAACCCTAGATATTCTGTGATTGTATGATAGTATTTTGGGGTATCTCTGTGCTTCTGGAGCATCTCTGCACCCAAAACATTTGGGGTATCACTGCACCCAGTGCCCTTGCAGCATCTTACACACAAATCTTTTGGGGTGTCTGCACTAAGAGCCTTTGGGATATCTCTCTCTTGCTCTCAAACCTTTTGGGGTGTCTCACACCCTGGGCTCTGGAGCATCTTTCCCCCAGGCTGAGCTCCAGGGGTGTCCCCCCAAGTGCTGCACACAAGTGGGGTCTCCAAGCCCCACAGCCAAGAAGACCCCAACCCATCTACTTCCCAAGGCTGCCAGACCATCCCA